TTGATTAGAAGCTTAATCGTTGATAATAAGAATCGGTAAGTAGATCGAATTGATAATGGAAGTCAATAAGGCATAGTCCCAGCGTGCTTTCAGGCATGGATAAGATGATCCATGACGGCACTGGGGAGGTGCTCATTACTAACGATGGTGCTACCATTCTTAAGGAAGTGAGACTAATTAACTCATACCACGCTTCGTTCAGATGTCTGTGATGCATCATCCCACTGCAGCAGAGATGCTTATCGAACTGTCGAACAAGCTGGCAGGGGATGGTAGCGTTGTAGAGATAAATACGACCTCTGTTGTGGTCATTGCTGATGTTGCCCAAAATGTAATACTAGAGTCATTGGCATGGTCTTAGTTATTGGGCTGCAGCATACACCCTATTACAATTAGCGATGGCTTCCTCTCGCCGTCACAGAAAGCTGAGTTCATTCTTGAGGACATGAGCATCTCGATCAGCTTGGATGATAGGGACAGCCTTATTACCAGCGCTAGTGAGAATTCTCATACCACAATTCTTTCACATCGTCATAGGGACGTCTCTTAACTCGAAGGTCGTAGCTCAGTCCGCAAGCCTTCTAGCTCCAATGGCTCACCCGGTGGTGAGGACACTCCAGTGCTCTTCGTTGAGTTATGTTAGCCCTCGAGAGGGAGTTCGTAGCTGTTGTTGTTGTTGATGATGTCCATCCCTGGTCCTGTTGTGGCCCCCGACGACGATATAATACCGATGATTTGGGAGCCTGGTGATTCACAGCTCGGCACTGGAAGAGGAGGAACCCACTCAGTGAAGTACTGGATTGGCATAATCCTTTTTGTGAGGCGTACTCACTCGATTGAGAATAATGTTCATACCACACCTTTGTCAGATCATAGCGTATATCATCCTCATACCAGGGCTCACTATCAACCTATATAGCTACAGCTTCTTCGGTACTGATATCACCAAATCGACTCTCACTACCATCACATTACTCTGGAATGATGGCTACATTGTACCTGCAGTACTCTTAGCCTTCTTCGCGTTAGCGGTAGGAGAAACTCTCATGAGGGTGGCCCTTCGCTGGAGTATGGGGTGTAGGTACCTGCCATAAAACTGTTATTATGGCGACTATCAGTCTACTATGAGAGCCCAGTATTAATACACATAGTACAGTACATCTCCAAGTGGGCTACTACTGATGCCATTGTAGTGGCATTTCTGATGGGCTTCTTATCGGAAGCAGTGGACGTGAGCCTGATGTGGGTACTCATCTATTATTGCATATCTCCGCTCAGGGTTTGATAACTACCAAATTGCATCTGGGGTTTCCATGCTTCGTCGGCTACTGCCTAATCTCAACCGCAGCGGCAATGTTGGTCCATGCATCTCCACGAGACCGAGTGGATAACTCAAGGGTGAGCCTGAATGTGCAGGGATTCATTCAACTTTGAGAAATACCGTTGCCTTGTGTGTGATAACAAGGAGGTGGCATCTACATGGGAAACTGATTGAAGAGTGTGTTCCTCACCTTGTGAGAAATTCAAAATGAGTTCGGCCTCCCGCGTACATGTATGGATACAGCCCTTGAATGATCCTACTCAGATAAAGCCAGAGTGGCGTCGTGGCCTTACGTTCGGTGTCAACACCATGGCACTAGTCTGCTGGGCTGTCGCATCTCACATTAAGTAGCAACTCTAATGAGATGAATCATCTCCCTGATGGTGTCCTTCAGCTTCTGTGCTTTGGCTATCACACTCAATGGAAAAGATATCGATAAGAAGGACATAAGCCTTTGGAGTGCCATGACTATCCTATATAAGAATCATCCCATAGCGTTACCAGTGCTAGGCGTGTTTGTATGGGCCTTGCCGGCTCTAGAGTGAGTCCTACTGATCTACGATGGATCAAGAACCTTGCTGATTCAGGTCGCTATTGTGGGTAGCAGTATGTGCAGCCCCTTCCCTAGCAGTGAGGGTGTGTGCGGGAGTCACCATGCATATACCTATTGGTCGCTCCTGTTGGGGTCTGGCTAGTTGGCTGAGACAACTAAGATTCTGGCTCATGTGGGATGTTGCTACAGTGAGCATTATTGTTATGAACTCAGCACTGAACTCAACCGATAAGCTCCGATGTGAGATATACTGGCTGCCCTATTCCTTATGGTGGATAGCAACGGTAGTAGTCTTATCGTAGTCGACTTGGTAGTATCGTCCATTACAGGTGCTAATGTACGGTGGGAGGTCAGTGGGAGACGACTACCTTAAACTGGTAATCTCGACGGTACAAGGCATGCCCATTCTGGCCGAGCGATGACATGTTACGTTGCCTAGTAGTAGTTGAATTCGGTGAAGTTTAATATGTTATACACATTTTATCGCATTAAAGTTATTTTCCGGACCCATCGCGCTTTCCTTGTTACCATTTTTCTCCCGAGGCTAGCCTTTTTTGCTACTATCATGTCGGATATCACGGATGATCTCACAATTGTCAGTGAGTTGGCTACAGCGACTCCCATTCCCGAGAACCAGTCGTCCTCAGAGCTTCTGAACTGCTCTGTGTGCCAGCAACCGGGCCGAAGAACGGTATAGTGCTGTCAACCAGTGTGACGGTTCATTGCAGCACTCAGATCCCCCTGCCCACCTGTGGACACCCTATATGCCACCGATGCCGTCAGCTTGCATTGGAGCCTACTATTCAGTGTGGAGAGTGTGGGAAAGTCTCGGCTATCCCGGTGGTGGGAGACGATGAGTCCCTGGCTTCTTCGTCGGGATCGGGATCTGATTGGAGGTATCACCGCTGAGGTCCTTGCACGTCACCTTGTACATTGTTCAGTCACGAGCATGCTGATACCAAGAAGAGCAATACACTATTGTGGATATCAGTGGCAGCTGGGGTGTCAGTCGCCTTTGCTACCTGGGCTATAGCAGCCTATCTTGCTAGGGGTAGGAGGAAAGGAGCCCATCGGAATGTGCTCGAGG